CTGTCATCAATTCTTTCCCATGTGCGCATAGAGCAGACACACTAGGGTTGATCACATGTTCACCTATCAGGGAGAGCCACTGACATCTTGTGAGATGCCGATCTCCTCTCCAAACCTAGGAGGTTACCTTTTAGCTCAACTCTGTATCTGTCTCCTCTGAAGAACACAATGCCAGAACAGATTTTGCACTATCTGGGATGAGACACATATTACAACTCTATGACCCTCAGTAAACAAAGATTGAAAATAAAAAAAATAAGCATTTGGCAGGACCTCAAACTCGCATCCCTTTTTCCTTCAAATGTCAGCTATTCTACCACTTGAACTACAAATGCAAAAGTCTGCAAATCCAATCAAACTATATAAATCTATTCCTTACTTCCCTACTACAAACAATTGGTACAACAATTTGTTTGATGCTTATTTATATACACCAGTTGTGCTAATAATGGTAGCTTGACTTTTATTATTATATGAAGCACTGTCAATTAGTATTAACTTTGACTAATACTCCTTCCAACTTAATTTCAATTATTTACAGTCAAACTGATGTCCTCATCTCTGTTCACATTTTAACCATTTTTACCCTAAAGTTTTTTTCAGGTGTTTGTAGAAAGAGTTGAAATTTCTAGAGCATGTAATGAGAAAAGGCGGCTTGGAGAATTTGACATTCACAGAACAAGAATTTAAGCATGCTACTAGATTGGCATCTAGGTTTACTGTTGAAATAGCTAAATGCGACTGCCACTTCTACTCCACCAGTTTCTTTTCTTGCACTTCCTATCTGTGGAACTTCTTTCAATGTACTTGCTTCCCTGACAACTACAATCTTCAAAAATTTAAATGCAATATTAATCACTATCTTCTATCTTGAATCCTGTTCATCTTTTGTCCTTTCCTCATTCCTCCCTATACTCAGTCTTTTCGCTCACTTTCACTCCCTGTAATTCCTTGCAAGCTAGTAGCATTCCTGCCTTGCTTGGGGTGAAATGATTAAAAAAAGTACAGAGAAAAAATGAACAACCCTACCTAACAAGCTTGGATGGCATAGGAGAGATAGCCCAAAGACAAAATTTACTCCTACAAAAAAGACAAGAAATTGTGGAAAGCCACAATATCCAATGTCCTGAAGAGACACTGCATACAGAAGAAGTCAATCTGCATAGACTTCAGGGATCAACAGACACCTGCAAAAGGTTGGCAGGAACAAAGGCCAAAATGTTACGATAACAACAAAAATAAATACATTAGTCCAATTGTAAATAATGTTAACTCATCCCAGAAAGTCAAGCAGAATTTAATTTCAACTGGTTTATTTTTTTGTAATTTCTGTGGTTGTTAGTAAGCAGTACATATCCGAAATGAAGAACAACATTCTAACCCACACTGTTTGAGGAAAGCCATGGGAGTGGATGACAGTCTTGTGAGTTGTGAGTGAAAATGGGTGAAGCTAAAATTACTTTTTATTTTTATAAAAATTTTATTTCTGCTTGAATTTGTGCTTTTTTTTAATTTGTTTGAAAATGAACGCAGTCCCAAAGTAAAATAATTGAAAGTGAAAGCAAGCAAAGTGGCAGTTCTATTTACAATGCACAAGGATAAGTAAAAAATTATCCACACTTTCACCATAACATATCTGCAACCAGAGTAGCCATATTTACACTGTAACAGCAGCAAGAAAACTAGTGCGATCAAACTCAAACTTTCGATCATGTACCCACAATAGTACCAACTATAAGCACTGATGAACAGAAGGTAGTGTGACAAACTGAAAGATATGTTATGGTAAAAGTGCAGATAATTTTTTTTTTATTTACTCGTGTGTGTGTGCGTATATATATATATATATATATATACACACACACACTATATTGCCAAAATGGATTCCATACATGTGTCCCAAATTATGACCTGGATTGTTCAATTTACATTGGGATTACAAAAACAGAATTTTGATTTTGTATCTGCATTTTTTCCAAACTTTAAAGCACATAAGCCTAAAAAAAATATTTTACAAAGTTCATAACCTAGTGATAGTGGTATTACAAAAAAGTACAAGCCTAACTGGATTCCTAGCTACAAATTTTAAATAAATTCAACAAAAAAATCCAAAACAAATATAATATATATATATATATATATATATATATATATATATATATATATATATATATATACACACACACTATTTTCATAAAAATGGACAAAAGTAAGAGCCAAGTTTAACATTGTAACATTGCCACTTACATTGTAAATCGTGCCCATAAAAACTTAATTTCGTAAAGAAATTAAGCTCATATTCCGCCAATGTACATAAAAATATATTTTCCTATGAAATTCATACCTTTTAACTGAATCTTTACCTGAAAAATATATTAGGTTGAAAGAAATACTAATCAAATATTCAAAATTGACAATGTTTAATGAGGAAATTCAAATATTTACATTTAGTGTAAGCTACAGAAATTAAAATGAAATACTGGCCCAAAAATTAATAACTAGCAATGTGTGATCTATTAAGATTCAAAGCTAATAATAAAAGTACAATCAAAAGTGAAAACTGATTTAAAAAGATAGACAGTTTTACTACAAGGATCCTGCTGAAAAGTTCAAGGCTGACCAAGATACTCTTATGAAATATGACCAACTAAGGTTTATTTTTCAACATAACCCCAACCCCAACTCCCACCACATACACACATTTCTTCCATCAGTGTTGCAGTACTTGAATTCCATTAGTGAAGAAACTTTCATCCTGTTGGTCAAAATGTAATCAATAGCAGATATAACATTATCATTCCCAGCCAAGGGTTTTTTCATGTTGGAGAACAGATTATAGTCAGATGGTACCAAATCAAGAGAAAAGAGGTGATCAACTAGTTCAAAGCCACAGTCACACATAGCAGCCATTGAAAGCAAGGACTTGTGTGCTGGATCATTGTCCTGATGAAACAATTTTCCTGGTGTTTGGTCTTGATAGCCTTTCAGAACAACTTCAGCAAGTTGGCATAGTACTCCCCATTGATGGTATGGCCATTTGAAGATAATCAATAAGCAGAAAAAACTGAGTTCATCACCTTCCCTGCAGATGAAATGACCATGGCCTTTTTTGGAGTAGGTGAGGAGGTGTGTTTCCACTGCATGGATTGTATCTTTATCTCTGGCTCAAAGTGAACCAAACACTTACCCTGTGTTAGGAAATATTCAAGGAAACCAGCTGGATCTGCCTCAATGTCAGAATTTTCCTGTGAAATGATCAGGCTTATGCACTTTGTTTGGATATCAAAAAATATGGTACCCACCAAGTAGAAACCATTGTCATGCCAAGTTCATTATGCAGAATATTCTCAATTCACAGGATATGCTAATAATATTTGCTATTTGATTCATAGTCAATTGCCTCTCATCCATAACCATGTGGTGAACACCATGTTATTCTCAGTGGTGGCAGTTGTAAGACATTCAGACCTTGAGTTATCTTCAAGATTCCTTTCTCCTCCTAAATTCAACTGCTCACTTTTGCACTGTTGATGAAGCTGGAGAGTCATCCCCTAATGTAGCAACTATGTCAGCATGAATGTTCTTGGAGGCTAAACCCTTTTTCTGCAGGTACTTGATAATACCATAATGCCAAATTTTGTTCATTTTCAAGAGAAGTTGTTACTTGTTACTTCTGAAGTCTTCTTTGAAAAGTCAGATGTTAGTTTAACTGGAAAGAATGTAGTTATTAATAAGAAGAGTTGAAATTAATGCATATAAAATTTCACAGCTCTAACGTCATTCCTACATAGTCAGCCTATGAACTTTTCAGCCCACCCTCATACACAGTAATTTTAAATTAAAAGGTGTTACTTTAATAACTTCAAGGAATTGCAAAATCCTGTCATTCAGAAAGCCACTCATAACTTTTTACAAAAATATTAAAAAAAAAAAAATATACAAAATTGTATCATACTACACTTCTGAAGTTTTGATGAAAAAAAATGTCCTACCCACTGTAGGAGAGTAAGTAAAATATTTTATTTTTCTGCTGAGACAAACATATTAAATATCAGTCTATGTTGTTGTAGAATTGTTAGGGATGGCTCTGTTGGTGTTGTAGTGCATTAGATTTTGCTTTTTATCAATTTGTGTTTAAAATAAGCAAAACAAAGTCCTCATTATTGCCTTTATGCACAATTAAAACAATAGAAATTCCACTCCCCTCTTCCATTCATTGTGTTAGGAACAGATAAACCATTTTTTAGGAAGGTTGAATAAGGAAAAGGAAAAAAAAATGAAAGAGGATTGGATTTTTTGTAATGTAAAATATAATGTACTATTCATCTATATTAGTAATAAAAACATAACTACTTCAGTAGCTAAACAAATCTACTATAAATATACATCAGTATTTGTAGTTGTGGTGGCTGTTATAATAGATTGAAAGTTAATAATTGTAATAATAATGAATTACATTTAAATGCAAATACTATTCGAATAATAATAGAAGCACTGGAAATAGTTAAAATGAATAGTGATTAATTTGATTTTACTGCTTATCAACTTTTTGTGGGTTATTTAAAGCCAAAACATTTTTGGATTGCAATTTCATTTTTTTTTGGCAAGTGAATATTGCATTAACAATTTCTTAAGAATACCAATGATTTTTCCAGATAAAATCCTACTGTTTAACCCACACATCCAATAAAATACTGACACATAGGTTAAGAAAATCTGAAGATTAATTGATTAATTCATTTTCTACAGACTATCAACAGGTTATTTGCAGGTTATTTAAAGCCAGAAAATATTTTTTAGATTGGAAGAATTTTTTTTTGAGATAATGCTTTAGTGATACAAATCTTACTAATTAATCCGCAGCTAGAGGGAGAATAGATGGATTCATATCTTTCCAAAGGGAATTTGCATGTAAATGATAATACACCCAATTGGATTTAGAATCCTGTTCTCTGATTAATAAGAGCCATTATCCATTAAACCTCCTACATATCCAAATTTACAACATCTGATATTCCAAAGCAGTCACCTATCTAATTACTGACCAAGCCCAACATTGCTTAACTTCGGTGATCATATGGGAACTAGTGTTTCAACATGATGTGGGTGTAAACCTAGTGAAGAAAAATAAAAATGAATAAATTATAAATACATGAATTTGACAAAAACATCATCTTGGCTATTTTGTTTTCCCTATAATTACTTCATGGTAGATAAAATAATTAACCAATACAGAAATAAACAGGAACTCTAATTAGAAAAAATAACTTAATGACTGCATTAAAGCAAAACAAAATGGTTTTGTTTGAATTATTTGTAACAAAAGGATCAGGATTATAAGACCAAACAGAAGATAATTTGAGACGAGCCAAAAAAAAAAAAAAAAATAAAAAATAAAAGATCAACAATGTTTTGAGGCAATTTTTAACAACTTGAAATTTTTCTTTTTAAAAACTTGAATAATTTTAAATTAAAATTATTTAAAATTTCTAACACATTCAACATTATGGATAAAATTATTGTGAATTTTACATAGTATTTTTTCGAGACTTAGCATGAGCAAAACAAATTTATGGATTTGGACAAGAAAAAAAACACAAAAAGACCCCACGTTAATGTCAAAATCCACAAAAATTGTTCATCGTTTTAAGAGTCAGTTGTGCTTAATTTGTAAAAATGTAAGTAGAAAAAAAGCAAATCTTGATAAGATAGTGAGGATAAGCTTTCAATAAGATGGTTAGCATCGTAAATTGTTGGAAAAATAATCAAAATTGTGAACATTGCAACATTGAAAGGAGTTTTCAAAAAAGTTGTAGTTTGAATTTTTTGTGAATGGCTTTTTGTTGGTCATGAAAGTGATGTCGAGACGTCAGCAAAACATTCGAAAATAATTTAATGTGAGAATGCACAAGATCTCTGAAAAGAACGTTAGTAATAAAAACGGATACAGAATACAATATTTTATTATAACAAGATTCCAATCAAGAGCATGATGCAAACAGAAGCTAGAAAATAAGGAGAGTTAAAAAAAAAAAACAGTAACAAGTGATCAATTGATATAATCAAGTCAAGGACCAAAAAGGAACAGGTTTTCTTTTTCTTTTTATCATAAACAAATTAATTATACATCAATCATCAAAAAATCTATAAAATTTACCCTCTTCATTCTTACCCAACATTGGCAAGGTGTCCAGATAAATAACTTATTTATAAATTTTCTAACATATAGATCCTAAATTTGGAAAAACTTGTTTTTGTTCATACAAGACTTTACAGAACATTTACACAGGCTTACAGATTTCTTTTTCTACTTAGGACAATTTAAAAAAAAAAAAAAAAGTTCTGCATGGATGACATCAATTTAAAAAAGACGCAAACACCTTTTAAATAATCGAAATGATGTTGGTTAAAGAAAAATTCAAAGAAACAGACACTAGTCAAAAAAAAAAAAAAAGAAACTGAAAAGAAAAGAAAAAATTCCACAAAATTAAAACTGTAACTAGTGGGGCAGGTCACTCCTTCAAATATGGTGAATATTCATCCCCCTTTTTGGCTAATCAATGTAGCAGAATTCGTATTGTAGGTTAGACCTAATAAAAGTGGCCACTCTACTCGAATTGAAGGCTATCGAAAAAAGAAACATGTTTGCCTTAATGGTTCATAGAACATGAAAAAAAAATACTATCTACAAAAAAAAAAAAAAAAAAAAAAATCACTGTCAGATCTGAGTGTGAATGTTCAACTGGTTGTCAAATGTAGGAACATTCCTGTATGACATGCTAACTACTCTACAATAGAAAACTATTTGACACTTAAGGAGCTGGCATTAAAATATAATGTCCCCATTTTAGTTTTAGAACTTGTCTGACTGCCTTCTTGGGGAGATTATGGCTTTGAGTCTCGATCGAATCCATGGGGAGTGGTGTTTCAAACTAATGACAGAAAAACCTTCAATGCTATTCCCAGTTACCGGGACATCAAATAGCCAGAAGCTGATGGTTCTTGTTTCCAGAACAAGACCTGCATGCTAATACTGCAGTGAAGAGAGACTGACGATATGGGGTTGTATACTATGCACTGCGACTAGAAATAATTTGTTTTAGCTTACATAGGAGTAGGAGTCAATTTACAGTTAATTTACACAACAAACTAGACCATTCCCAATTAACTTTCATAAAATTTTATATATTTTTTTTAATATTCGTGATTTACTTACTCCATGTAATGTATAGTAATAAAAAAAATATGGTACTTTTATTGTTCTCTCGCCTTAATGTTTTCTTTTACAACCCATATTTTCTCACACTCAGTGACCACCTTATGTCTTACTGGCTTTATTGCCTTTTCTTAAAAAAATGATTATTTCTGGTTGCAGTGCATATTGTACACCTCCACCAAGACTCCTACTTTAAAACCAGCTATTGGATGTCAGGATACCTTATCATACATCTCTTCCACTGAAAAGGAAGCCATAACAACTACACCCATTATATGTCATCACCTGCTCTCAGCCAAGGATCAAGATCATCATCCTCTCTCCCAATTCCCTTTCTTTCCCCTGGTGGTAGAGATAGCCATGAATGAAAGAGTTTGACAAGGCCATTTGTGTGAATTTGATTTTGATGGAAAAGTGTGCGATGGAGAAGCCAACACACTTGGCCAGAAGTGCCTCCATCGCAGCTCAAGAGGGATTAAGACAGGCGAGATTTGGCAAGCCTGGTTGCATCGTGTTTTCAGTTGCATGGTCTGTCAACGTCTACCTTGGTTACGCCAGCCCGATTGGTGCTGCCTTCTTCCACCGATTTAGCTATTGAAAATGAAATCGTGTTTGCCTATTCCGCCATTGGGATCTTTGAAGGTTGGTCAGGTTTATTCTGGTCCTTCCTCTTTAGCTTTACCATCATGGGTGGACTGACAGTAGTTGTAACTCCAGATGGCTTCGCTCTTGCAATCACTGGAACAAGTAAGCCCTCTATCATAACAAAGAACAACCACTGGATGTCGGAGTGAACCGTTCGTTATCAAATGTACCACTTTGACTTATTTACTTTAATGACAATAATAGAAATGAATCAATAAATAAGAAAAGAATAAATCTAATAAAACTAAAAATATAAAAGTATCATTAACTATATGAGAACATTTTTATTATTGTTGTTGCTAAAAACAGATATTTGAGAGATAAAATAATAAAGGCAGAAATTCACAACTGAACAAAAAAAACAAAAAACATTACAACTCAAAATGCTTTTCCTACAAATTTGAAAATATGTCCTTGTCCATAAAATGGTTACTACAATCAATAAATAAAAAACAAATAACAGAATAAAATTATTAGAAAATATTATTAAAAATGTTTGAATGATAAATGATAAGTAAAGAAATCGACGATAAGGAACCAACCAAAGGAGCATAGGAAGAATAAAAACTTAAAAAGTGCCTTAAACTTGATGAAAATAATTATTATCAAAATGTTTGTTATTATTAAGAGGAAAGATCAAAGTATTTTTACGTATTTGTTTACATTTTTTAATCGTTCCTAGCACATCTGAAATTTTTGTTAAAACAGAAAATGTCAATTATCATATCTTATTATCTTCAATTTTATAAACAAAATGAAATTCTCTGTTTAAAATTCTTTTCAAAATTAATTTTAAGAAAATTAGAAATTATAAAGTTTATTTAAAATATTTTGAAACAAACATTACTCACTTTCTGCACCAAAAAATGTAGTTTAAAATAAGACAAAGTGGGTCTCAACAGTGGTGTCAATTGACGAGTGTTGAGTGATGATTTCATCAGGTATTGACAGCTTATGTAAAAGAAAGTTACCATACAGAAGGACAGAAATGACAATTATTTAGTTTTTAAGTGAACCCATTTATTTACCTCATTATTTTTAAGGAAAACTTTCAGCACTCTAATTTTTTTTTTTTTTTTGTATGTAGCTTTCACCTTTATGCTTTATGGAAAATATATAAAATAATTAAAATAAGACTGTTGAGAGTGAGATAAAATTTCATAAAGGTATCTAATTAATTTTATAGGTACCTTTCTTATGAAATTTTGTCAGAAGTATAGATAAAATACGATAATTTTACATACATTTATTACATTTCTATTCATCTTATTATTAATTTTGATATTTCATTTATGGAAAGATGTCATAACTGAGATAATATAAAAATTGGTATAAGCTATACAGTTTATAATGCTGTAAAGATAGATCTACTTAACACCATTGACTAAACTAATCAGCATTTTCACTAATTTTAGAGTATTTAACAACTTTAATATAAAAATAATAAAATAATTTAAGAAATAACAAATAATTGTTTTAAAAATTCATTTTTCATTGAAAAAGGTTTTTGGCTTTCAGACAATATTATCCATATTCATAAAAACAACTAAAAGCAATTAAAATCATTTGAAATTAAATAATATCTTTGTTTTATTGAGTTTTGTATGTTACAATTCAGAGCTGATTTTCAGGTAGGGGGGTCAGATTAAAAAGTAAATAAATAAATAAACATGATTTGCTTTCCTCAAAGCCTTGTGCTTTTAACTAATATAATCACTAAACTGGCTGGTATTGAATTTATAGAGTTTTCAGAAAATTAGTGGGGGGGTAATAAATATAAAAAAATAGTTTTGCCATGACTTTAAAAAAAGAAAAGATAATTTCCATCATTTATGAATAGTTTCTGAAAGTTTCATTAAAATCTGACAATTATTTTTATTTTTGCAAGATTTTCCAAATTAATGTCCGTCGTAAAAAAATGCGCTAAAATATGTTATTTAGTAGTTCCGCTGATGCAGAGAAACAAAATTTTTTTAATCAAAAATTAGAATGTTCTAAAAAGAAGGAAAAATTTTAGAAATTAATTAAAAAAAATACTTTGTTCTTTCTTCTTAACGATAAACATTTAGACGATAAAATTTTGTTTTCATCAAGTTTGGGGTCTTTTTCATCACACTATGTATGCTCTTTTTTTAGCAATTTCATGGAATATGCTAAATAGACATTCTTAATAAAGTAAACTTGCTAAAATACTTAAAAATAAAACAAAAAAAACAATTTACATTATACATCAATCTAAAAAAAAAAA